TAAGTTTTTATTTGAATTCCTGTGAGTTAACTTACAGTGTAATATTAGTTTCAGGTATAAAATGTAGTGATTCAACAATTCTGTATGCTTCTTAGTGCTCATCGTAAGTGTACTCTTTTTTTTTTTTTTTTAATTTGTCAGAGACAGAGGGAGAGAGAGTGAGCGAGCACAGGCAGACAGAGAGGCAGGCAGAAGCAGAGGGAGAAGCAGGCTCCCTGCCGAGCAAGGAGCCTGATGTGGGACTCGATCCCAGGACGCTGGGATCATGACCTGAGCCGAAGGCAGCCGCTTAACCAACTGAGCCACCCAGGCGTCCCCGTAAGTGTACTCTTAATCCCCTTCACCTGTTTTACCTATCCCTGCCCTCCTAGGTGACCATCAGTTTCTTCTCTATAGTTAGGTGTCTATTTTCTTGGTCGGTCTCTCTCTCTCTCTCTCTCATTTATAGCAACATTATCTACAATAGCTTAATTAAGCAAACAGCCCAAGTGTCCATTGACTGATGAATGGATAAAGATGTGGTACATATGTCTGCAATGGAATATTATGCTGCTTGTTTTTCTCCCCCTGGGATAAAATATTTTTTTAAAAAAGTTTTACTAATGTATAACTGATACTCTGTAAATCTATTTTAAGTATACAGTTGGGGGACACCTGGGTGGCTCAGTGGGTTAAGCCACTGCCTTCAGCTCAGGTCATGATCCCAGGGTCCTAGGATTGAGTCCCGCATCGGGCTCCTTGCTCAGCAGGAACCTGCTTCTCTCGCTGCCTCTGCCTGCCTTTCTGCCTGCCTCTCTGCCTGCTTGTGTGTACTCGCTTGCTCTCTCTCTCTCTCTCTCTCTGGCAAATAAATAAAATCTTAAAAAAAAAAAAAGTATACAGTTGGATGAGTTTTGACATATGTATGCACCCATGACACCATCTTCACAATTAAAATAATGTATCACCACCTGCAAAATTTTCATGAATTGCCTCTTCCCGCCTGATCCAACCCTATTCCCAGGCAACCACTGATCTATTTTATTCTTTTTTCTTAAGATTTTATTTATTTATTTGAAAGAGAGAGAGAGCAAGAGGGACATGCTTAGTGTGCAACCCAACATGGGGCTCAATCCCATGACTGTGAGATCATGATCTGAGCCAAAATCAACTGATTGAGCCACCCAGGCACCCCTGATCTGTTTTCTACTATTATGTTTGCATTTTGTAGAATTTTTATAGAAATGAAAGCACACAGAATGTACTTTTTATCTGGCTTCCTTAATTAAGATTCATCCATGCTGTAACAACATTTCAGTTTTTATTGCTGAGTATTCCATTGTATAAATATACCATAATTTGTTTAATCACTCACCTGTTAATGGGCTTTCTAGTAGTTTCCATGTTTTTGTTACTACAAACAAAGCTACTATGAACAGTCAAGCACAAGTTTTGTGTGGACATGTGCACATTTCTCTTGGATAAATAGGTAGGTGTGAAATGCCTGGGTCATATGGTGGGTGTGTGTTTAAACTTTCTAAAAACTGTCAAACTGTTTTCCAAAATGGTTGTACCATTTTGTACTTGATTCCCTTCTCCCTGTAACTGGGATTTCAATTTTTTAAAAAACTGAGGCGAAATTCACATAACATACAATTGTGTTAAAGTGTACAAGTTGGTGTTTAGCGCATTCACAATGTTGTGTGACCTCTCTCTAGTTTCAAAGCTTTTTCATCACCCCTAAATATCCCATACCCATTAAGTAATCACTTCCAATTCTTCCCTACTCCCTGGCAACCACTAATCTGCTTTCTGTTGCTTTGGAGTTGGCTATTCTAGAAATTTCATAAAAATGGACTCACACAGGAGCGCCTGGGTGGCTCCGTGGGTTAGGGCCTCTGCCTTCGGCTCAGGTCGTGATCCCGGGGTCCTGGGATTGAGTGCCGCATCCGGCTCTCTGCTCAGAAGGGAGCCTGCTTCCTCCTCTCTCTCTGCCTGCCTCTCTGTCTACTTGTGATCTCTGTCAAATAAATAAATAAATAATCTTTTAAAATAAGTAGATAAATGGACTCACACAATATGTGACCTTTTGCGTCTGGCTTCTTTCACGGGGCATGTTGTTGAAGCTTATCCAACTTGTATTATCAGTACTGCATTCCTTCATCTGGCTGAATACAGTCCACTGTATGTATGTATATGTGTATGTATATGTATATGTATGTATCACATTTTGCTTATCCATTTCTCTACTGATGAATATTTAGGTAGTTTCCATCTTTTGGTTACAGTCAAGAGTGCTGCTATGAACATTAATGATAAGTGACTTAATATCCATTTTCAATTTGGGGGAAATATACCTAAGGAAATTGTGAGATAATATGCTAACTTGGTGTTTAACTTTTTGAAGAAACTCCAAGGTTCCTATGTTTCTATATGCTTACTAACAGTTATTTTCCTGTTTGTTTTTTTAAATAATAGCCACCCTAATGGGTGCAGGGTGGTTATCTCATTGTGGTTTGAATTTGCATTTTCCTAATTGACAAATGATGTTGAGCACCTTTTCATGTTGGCCATTTGCATATCTTTAGAGAAATATATATAGGGCCATTATTTTGGACAGCAATAATTTGGCTATGAGCCTCCACTGACTTGAGGTAATGAGGAGCACTTAAACATTCTTGCTTAGCATATGCTTTCTAACTTTCTACTATGGAAAATTTCAAAGATATGAAATGAGTTATTCAATTAATAGTTCATAGATATCCCTTGTAGTATTAGACCTGACAATATAGGGCTTTCTTTCTTTATTTGATTGTCTAGCCATTCACTTCAAAGATGGCAATCTCAAACACATTGCCAGCTACACCCTAAGAAGCCAGCGTTAACTCCCCTATGGCCCAGGCTCCTTAGTTTTAGGGATCCTAGTTGGTTTCTGTAACTGACTACTTAAGCCACTTGTTTTTTCTCTTCCAGCACTTTAAATTCCCACTCTTACGTTTTAAATTCACCAATAAAATGTGAGTTCGTGAAACCCTAGGCCCCACCCTCAACCCCAATAAAAGCATAAGCCCAGGCCCGCTCATTCACTCTTTTTTCTCCTCCTCCCCAACCTTCCCCCCAATCTCACTGCGTGGCACACATAACTTCAGGTCCTGTAAGTAATAAACTTTTTTTTCAGTTTCTTGATGGTGACTTCTGCAAGGGATCTTGTAAACATTTACTAAGAACCATAAGGGCCGGTCTGGCCATAATACTGGTTAATGATAGGCTGTACCCAGCACCAAACAGTCCTACTGTCTCCTTAATGCCTGATTTTGACAAACTATGTGCTCTCTTTCTCCCTTTGTTTAATTAGAGGAAAAAGCCTGTCTACTTACATCACACTAACAAGTGATTTCTATAAGTACTATTTTGGGCCTATAGCAGACCATAAAGTTATGTGTAAAATTATCTAATGCATGTGATTTTTCTTTGGTTCTTCCAGGAGAATGAGACGGCTTTTATTTTTATTTAAGAGCTATTTTCTAATAGTTTGGGCTACTAAAATGTTACTATTTTAATAACATTTATGGGTTACCAAAATGTTGTTAAAATCTATATAGTCATAGAACTTACCGAGGAAAAAAATGAGAGCAGAACAATGTTCTGCTAAGACGCCTGGCTGATACAACACACCAGCCTGCATCGCAAAATAACAAAACACAGACCGAAAACACTGTGTGTAGGTAGCTGGTACAAATCACTGGGATTCTGGGTCACAGCTTCACCTTGCTCTCTCACTTGTTCTCACAAAAGCCGCCAGCCATGTTATCAGCTGCCCTAAGCAGAGGCCTACGTGACCAGGAGGAACTGAGGGAGGATGCTGGCAGACAGGTAGTGAGGAACTGAGGCCCTCAGCCCAACCACCCCAAAGGAACAGATTTTTGCCCCAAACTACCTGAGTGACTTTGGAAGGCCTGTCAAGCTTTGAAATGATAACAACCCTGGCTCACACAGGGTGTCAGATGATCACAGCCTTTTGAGACTCTGAGCCATAGACCCAGGTAAGCTGTGCCCAGACCCCTGACCAACAGAAGCTATGAGATAATAAATGTTTGTTTCAAACTTCTAAGTTTTAAGGTTAATTTTTTACATGGCAATAGATAACTAACACACCAGGAACAAACGAGGTAGTACTATATCCTGGCCTGAAATTTGTCCTGAAGTTGCCTTGGGCTAGTTACTTAACCTGTGAAGGCTGCAGTTCCTTATCTTCAAGATGGGCAGAGCCTTCCCTGCCTCACAAATTAACTGTGGTATCTGCATGGAAGATCTACTCATTGACAAAAACAACAGGCTTGCTAGGAATTCAACAGAAAACTTGAACAGATTCAAACCGGCTTACCAATATCTTCAAGGAAGAATTTCAGGGAATTTTTCATATTTCTATTTCCTTATACCAAAAATATTTATAATTAGTAAAAACAAAGGACACACTCAACATCAGGTAAAAATCACGTTTTCCTTTAATTGACTACTTAATTCACACCGTTTCGGCTCTTGGTTGCTACTTTGGTAACAATTAGGTCCCCACCTCAAGAACAATGCATTCTGAACGGGCTGACACAGAGCCAGTGTGAACACAGGCCCCAAACCAGGGCTTTTGGAATAACTAGAACAGCAGAACCAGGCTTTCTCTTCACTCAGAAAGGGATATTGACTCAGAGGGTCTAAAGCTCCAATTTCCAAACACAGAAAACCTGGAGCTCAGTGTAAAAATGGAAACCAAAATGCATCAGAAATGAAATATTGTACTTCCTCATATACTCAAGGTCAAGATGGCTCATGGGAAGTACGTTATCTGATCAGCTGACTTGTGTTAGGAATGGCCCCACTCCAGCAACTCTAAAGGAAGCTGTTTTTGTTTCTATTTCATTTCCCAGAGGGGTATAAAAATCTACTAAAAGGGATATAATCAATCAGAATAAATCAGCTCACTCACAAGACACTCCCAGATAATTTTTGGTTGCTGAACACAGCACATTATTTCAAAGCGGCAAAATTCAGGATAACTTGAAAAGAGAATTCAAAAATGACGGCTACATTTGCTGATAGGTTTATGTGAGACACACATACATTTTTTTCCAGTGTATTCTGTCAAAGGACCAAGATCCCTGGTCATCAAAATAAGTTATTTTGTACATTAGAGTGCACAGAACAACAGAGGCAAAGACTTTCTCGGAGAATGACCAAAAGGCATTTTGCAAAAGGTTCGTATCACTCTGAAGCATAAGGACTGGAGCCCAGTGCCTTGTGGCCTTCATTAGCTTGACCCCTCTTCTTCTTTGGTTGCAGTGGCCTCAGTGGCGGCTGTCTCTTCTAAACGTTCTGCTGGCTTCTTCTCCTCCTCCTCCTCCTCCTCATCCTCCTGGGGATAGAGGTCGGGATATTTCTGCATGCATTCCTGCATGGCCCGGAACTGGTCTACACAGTCTGACCCCTTGACATCCTGTGTGCTATAGTGGAAGCAGGAAAAGGCTGACTTGAACTGTTCCCCACAGGGGCCACTGGCCATTCCCCCAAGGCACGGGCAGTTCCAGTTAATGTCTCCATTTGGCAGGATCAATCCTAGAATGGGAAGACGGGCAAGGAAAATGTGAGACAAGCTCTCGAAGGCTTCTGAAAAAGCAAAACCAAGTCCAGTCCTCAAAAGATACTCGGGAGGTACAGAGCAGCAGGAAATACTGACTGGTAGGCCCTTGCCTGTGGACCTACCTCTATATTTGGATTAGGCTCAAATGCCTGTGCAAATGCAGCATCCTTTGGCTTGGCTGGAGAGAAGCCACCAATGGCAACTTTCTCCATGCACTACCCTGATCTATACTTTCAGCCGCCTCCCAGTGCGATGGCTCTGGCTGTGCTACACATTGTAAAGCACTTAATCTGAAGAAGAAACCACCACTGGGTTGGTGAGCAAGAAGCTTTAAGGAGCTGAAGTATTGACCTCCTTCTTTCACCCTCTGCTCTGCTCCTGCTCAAATGATCAGGACCAGAACACCCCTGCCTCCAAAAAAAGGCACCTTGCCCCCTCAAGCCCCTCTGGCTCTGCAGATGCTCTCAGAAGCTCAGTGTGAGGACTGGTCAAGAGGAGGCTGAGCCTTCTGCACTGGCAGGGAGCTACCCAAGGCACGCTGTACACGGAAAAAGCTAGTGGCCCACCAGATGGTGTGTTCTAGTTTTATAACAATGAAAAACCTAGAAGGATGTTAACCATACTGACCAACTGCTAAATAGCACGTGTGTTTCAGGGAAGGGGGGCCACTACAGACTGAATTCAGCTGCAATATTCTACAGGGCCCCTTACTTTTGAAATTTACACTTTCTTTGAACCTTACTCACATCTAAATAGTATTTCCTGGTTTTCTAAAAAGCTTTCAAAATGACAGCTTCATTTCCAGCTTTGTAACAGACAGGGAAATAGGATTCATATGGAAGTTTCTTACATGAGTTTTTTACAGGACTGAGAGCACTCTGTAAGATTCTAAGATGCCCAGTGAAGTGACAAAATTTTTCGCTCTAACCAAATACCCAGGCGTGGTCCTCTGAGTTAGTGTCCAAAGTCCTAGGCCTAGGCTGAGCCCTACCTCTTTGTTCTAGCTCAGGAAACTTCAATGACCAACAGATCTGCTGCTGCAGTTGCTTATTGGTAAACTGGGCTACCAGTGGAGATGTTCAGTGCTTACCGCAACCCCAGCAGGCAGGTCACCACTAGACCATCACTAGCTGCAGGGCATGCTCTCGAGTACCGAACTATCTGTGGCAAAACACATACTCGTTCTGACAACCTTCTTCAATATGTACTATAAATCCCAGTTCGCACAGGAGATTTTGTGGTTCAGTGGGGTCTAAATCAGGACTACAGCCAAGGCCCAAAGGATTCCCAGACCCCAAGCTGTCTCCCCACCTTGTACCACCTCTCCCTATGTAGGCCAACACGGTGCCAGAAACCTACGGGTTCCCCTCAGAGATACTGTGGGTTAGCCTCCAAACACAATAAAGCTAGTAGCACATAAAGCACATCACATTATGTTCTTGGTTTCCCGGCGCATATGAAAGCTATGTTTGCACCACCCTGTATTCAGGGCATAATAGCATTATGTGTAAAAACAATGTATATACATTAATTGAAAATACTTTATTGCTAAAGAATGTTAACCATCATCTGAGCTTTCAGAGAGTTGTAAATTTTTGCTGGTGGAGGGCCTTGCCATGATGTTGATGGCTGCTGACTGATTTGGGTTGTGGTTCTGGCAATTCTTAAGATAAGACAACAATGAAATTTGCCGCATCAATGGACTCTTCCTTTCACAAAGAATTTCTCTGTAGCATGTGACGCTGTTTGATAGCATTTTACCCGAACAGAGCTTCTTTCAAATTGAAATAAATCCTCTCAAACCCTGCTGTGGTTTTATGCCCTATTCTAAATCTTTTGTTGTCATTTCAATGATCATAGCATCTCTACTAGGTATAGATTCCATCTCAAGAAACCACTTTCTTTGCTTAGCAATCAAAAGTAACCTCTGATCCGATAAAGCTTCTTTGTTTTAATTGAAGTGTAATTAACTTACAGTACTATATTAGTTTCAGGTGTATAATATATAATTCTATACCCTTCTCAGTGCTCATCAAGATAACTGTACTCTTAATCCCCCTCCCAGTTCACTCCCCCAATCCGGCAACCATCAGTTAAGGCTTGATCAGGAGATCAAAACAGTTCAGTCACGCCTTCAGGCTCCACTTTTTTTTTTTTTTTTTTAAGATTTTATTTATCTGAGAGAGAGAGAGATCACAAGTAGGCAGACAGAGAGGGGGAAGCAGGCTTCCTGCTGAACAAAGAGCCCAATACAGGGTTCAATCCCAGGGTCGTTGAGATCATGACCTGAGCCGAAGGCAGAGGCTTAACCTACTGAGCCACCCAGGTACCCCTTCAGTCTCCACTTCTAATCCTGGTTCTCTTGCTATTTCCACCACATCTGCAGTTACTTCCTTCCCTGAAGTCCTGAACCCCTTAAAGTCCTCCACAAGGCTTGTAATCTGCTTCTTCCAAATTCCTCTTCATGGTGATATTTTGACCTCTTCCCATGAGTCACACATGTTCTTTATGACATCTAGAATGGTAAATCCTTTCCCGAAGGTTTTCATTGACTTTGCCCAGATCCAACAGAGGAATCACTGTCTAACGACAGCTATAGCCTTATGAAATATACTTCTTAATAGTAAGACTTGAAATCAAAGTGACTCCTTGATCTATGGAATGCAGAATGGATGTTGTGGTAGCAGGCATGAAAACAACAATCTTGTACATCTCCACCAATACTCTTGGAGGACCAGGTGCACTGTCAATGAGCAGTAGTATTTTGAAAGGAATCTTTCCTTTCTGAGCAGTAGATCTCAACAGTGGGTTTAAAATATTCAGTAAACCACACTGTAAACAGATGTGCTATTATCCAGGCCCATCCTCAAGGCCCTAAGGATTTTTGGAATGGTAAGTGAGAACTGGCTTCAACTTTAAGTCACCAGTGGAATTAGCCTCTAATAAGAGAATCAATCTGTCCTTTGAAGCTCTGAAGCCAGGCACTGACTTCTCTCTGGCTATGAAAGTCCTCGATGGCCTCTTCTTCCACTAACAGGCTGTTTCATCTGCACTGGAAATCTGTCGTTTAGGGCGGCCACCTTCATTCGTGATGTCAGCGAGATCTGGACGACGTACTGCAGCTTCTGCACCAGCACTGGCTGCTTCACTTGCTCTTTTCTGTCACGGAGACGGCTTCTCTCCTTCACCCTCGTGAACCACCTCTGCCGGCTTCACACTTCTCTTCTGCAGCTTCCGCACCTCGCTCAGCCTTCACAGAGTGACAGGGAGAGGGCCTTGCTCTCCGTGAGGCTCTGGCTAAGGGAATGCTGTGGCTGGTGTTATCTTCTCTCCAGACCACTGAGACCTTCTCCATATCAGTGATGAGGTTGTCGGCTTCCTTATCATTTGTATTCACTGGAGGAGCACTTTTCATTTCTTTCAAGAACTTTTCCTTTGCCTTCACAACTTGACTAACTGTTCAGTGCAACAGGCCTAGTCTTCTGCCCATCTTGGCTCCTGACAGGCCTTCTTCACTAAGCTCAATGACTTCTAACTTTTGGTGTGATGGGAGAGACTGCAAACTCCCCCTTTCACCTGAACACTTAGAGGCCACGGCCAGGCTGTTAACTGGCCTAATCTCAGTATTGTCGTGTCAGGGAACGGGGAGACCCAAGGAGAGGGAGAGAGACAAGCAAGAGCCAGTCTTGGAGCAGTCAGAACTCACACAATATTTACCGATTAAATTTCCTGGCTTATGGCACCCAAAACAGTTATGAGTAACAGCAAAGATCACCAATCACAGATCACCATAAAAATTACAATAATAAGAAAGTTGGAAGTACTGCAAGAATTACCAAAATGTGACAGAGACATGAAGCGAACAAATGCTGTTGAAAAAAATGGCACCAACAGGGCTTCGAGCATGGTCCTAACAAACCTTCAATTTGTAAAAAGCACGGTATCTGCAAAGCACGATAAAACAAGGCCTATATACAAACACTGCCCTCGGAAGACTCAAGACCTGGAAACTTGCACAGCCAATTTCCAAATGAAATACTAACTTTTTAAAGTAACAGCCCAGATCTGCAGGAGTCTATGCTTCGTCATTTCTCGGGGGAAGGCATGCTAGAATGAGGTCGCTTCTCCCAGAGGGCGCTTAGGCAGACAATCTGCATTTCAAGGACAAAATGTAAACATACACAGACATCAAGATGTCAAATTAAGCCCGGATGCTGCAGGTTTGGAACATACAATCAAAAGCCTGCAGTTCTAGTCCCTGCCACTAACTTCCTTGACCAGTCCCCACTTCCTCCTGGGCCCTCAGTTTTCCCCCAGACCAGGTGATCTTTAAGGCCCTCCTCTAGCCTTTTTGAGTGGATGCAAATTCCTTCTGCCGCCTTTCTCCTCGCACTCTAACCCTTTCTCCTGGCACTCTAACCACACAAAGTGCTATCTTAGCCACAAAGCTGGGTGCTTGGATGCAGGTGACCGGCAGGAACCGGTGGCCTACTTAGTCTGCTGAGTGGTTCTGCCACTGCTGGCTCAAACCCAGGTCCCAGAGCTCTCTGTTGTATACGCTTTTTGGTTAAATCATTCATTAGAAGGGGCTGCAAAGGCATATACCTCTATGGTCCAAGCAGATCAATTATAAATGACAGAATGAGGTAGCACAGAAAACAGGAGGGATGGTAAGTCCTGGCAGGAATGGAAGGGGAATGCACAGGCTCAGCAGAGACACAGCCAATTTTTAAAATGCCATGAGGCAAATAAAACATGGCGTGATTGGTTCTGTAGGCCCCACAAAATGTGCTTAACTAATACGGACCTCAAGAAAGGGAGAGAACTGGAACTGACAGGCGACTTATTTCCAGAGCACTGGAACTAACAGACGGAGTGCTGATTCAAGGTCACTTCCATAGCTGCCTTTCTTTTAAAACACCTTTGCCTCCCACCATTCCCAACGGGGTACTCAACATGCAGCCTTGGCTCGACTACTCTCAACCCCAGGAGCAGTAAGTCATTCTCCCTGAAAATATATGCTTAAATCTGAAAAATTCCAATTGGGAGCCTATACTCCATGGGCTGCTGCTGCTACAAGCTCTCTCGACCACAGTTACCACCAGGCAGCACTGGAAGGGTCACTAATTATCATCACAGGTGTCAGAAATGGCTTTAGATTGGTCAACTGAGTACTGTTTATGATACAGACTATATATAAACCCTGCACACACACTGGTCAGCCTTACACACATGGGGGAAGTTCCAGTGAGCCCAGTGGTCTAAAGCATTTGGAATGGCATCCTAGGCCCAAAAGACTACTAACCATTACTAAGTTGTATGCAACAGTTCCGTCTAGCTGAGCTGGATCCTGCCACTGGAAAACTGTCCCTCAGTCTTGAGTGAGCTTTTGTGCAGGGTCCTTGCTGGAGCCCCAGTGAAAAGACAGCCGACCTCACCACCTCACAGAACATGGGGTAGGGCTCTTCCGGGCCTGCTTGCTAACGGTCTGTAGATGCGGCAGAATCCCGTCTGGCAGCTTGACTGAGCGGGAGGATCCCCGTCCCCTTAAAGTGCCTGCCAGACCAGATTCCATGACCACCCCCACAACCCCTGCCTAAACCTTCATGGTCGGGAAGCAGCCAACCAGCTTCAGTCTGTGTAAAACCTCAAAAGAGAAAGAGGCAGAAGACCTCAGTTCAGAAGAAACTTAGGTTTTGGCCTAACAGTCAGGGAAGTGAGGGCTGGAAGTGAGGGCTGGAAAGCACTCAGCCAGCCCCTCATACCTGGGCAAGCCGGCTAAGCTCCTGGTGCTTGGGAGATAGTCCATGGCTGGGAAGGATACCTAAAAAACCTGACCTTGGCCAGAACAAAATGGGAAAAAAATTCTGGACATTTTCCCCCAGGAAGGGTCCCTGGGTCCCCAGGAGGCCCGCGCCGCTCACCGTGCTCCTCATACGGATCACTGGGATCATCGGCCACCAGCTCTGCGTTGCTTGGAGTTTCATGGTCCTCTTTGGTCACAAAGATGATTCGATCCTTCCCTAGTGTTTGGAGAACAGAGAAAGAAACATTTTGCTCAAGAGCAGCCAAACAACCCCAAACCAAAAGAAGGCACAAAAACCAAGTTTTAAGACTGTCCTATGCCAAACCCCCAAGTGAGGTGACCATCAGACTGTCCTTCCTGGGCTGCATCACTGAGTCTGTGTGATGGTCTAGCAGCCACTTCTACTGAGTGCTGCAACTGGAACAAAAACTTGACCAAGGTCATGGGTGAGGGAGAAGATGTCGCATGCACCCTCCAAGTAGGAGCCAACATGCCCAATCCAATGAAATGCAGCTGCTTCAGTCCCCATATGTGCTGATGGCAGACAGGTGCAACAACTTCTTTCTTCCTCCCATCAAGAAAGGGCCAGTCCCGTCTCAGAATTCCTATGGCGCTCAGACTGTCAACCGGCTGGAAATGGCAAGGCAGGCCCCTCTGCCATCTGACACCCTCCCAGCTCTCTCCCCGACACCTTCCAGCCATCCACACACTCTCACCTTCCTAAAACCTGTGCACAACAGCTAACCACACAGCAGGTGTCTGTCTGATATTCCTGTTGTGGTCAGAAGCACTTTGTCTTCGGCACCCTACATACTGCATGTCATCGGTTTCCCCTGCAGTCCCTGGATGGCAGACTGAGGCCAGCCCCTCTCTGGGTCCTGTGCGTCAGCTAGCTCCGCCATCCCATCACTACCCTGACAGGAGCCAGCAGGAGCCCCATACTAAAGTGGTGAGTCTAAGGCTCCAGGAAGTGACGAACCTGAGCTCACACCTGGCTGGAATGTAAACCCAGTTCCATGTGTCTCCAAAGGCCATGCTGTGGAGATCCTTTACTCAGACCCACACTGCCCCTGCCACCCCAAGACACACAAGAATAAAAGCAATAGCTAACACAGGGTACTTAGCACGACTCAGACACTGTCCTGAGAGCTTTGTGTGCTTGGAGCAGGAATGAATATTTTATACAATAAGCCCCAAGAAGCTGAGAATCAAGAGAATGTTTGCTGAATGAATGAATAGGAGCTTTCTTCTAAGCTACTGGGTACCCACCTGGTAAAGGGCAAGGACAAATGCAACAACCCTACTGACCGCCCATTCTCACCCAGGAGATGTGGGACAATGGGACCTCATCTGGAAGGAGATGGGAAGTGCCTGGCATTTAAGAAGACTTCTCCAGGTCCCATCCAGACTGGCCTTTGGACAGGGCCCTCATCAGTGGCGTGGAGTGAGTTAGCTACAATGGGGGCAGAGGCTAGGCCTGAGGAAGTGTGGCTCTCTGGGAGCTGCTAGCAATGTCTATGATTATTTCAGTTGTTTTACCTTTATATTTAGGAAAGTTCAGTCACAGGCTTGTTAAGAGAAACCAAGGGAAAACAGTGGGCCCCCACCAAGCTTGGAGTACTTAGGGAAGAGGCTTGAGTCAAGTACAGGGCTAAAAGCAGAGCAACGTCTCCAGAGAAGACAGTTCTGGGAACAGAGGGAAGGCACCCTTCTCATGCCTCCACAGGGTCTCCCACATGGGGTAACAAATAGTAAGGACAGCTGACTATTGGCATGCTCAGGGACAGGCCTCCAGCCCACCTGTAGTTCTGCCATCCTGTGACTAACTCCTTCCTGCTTGTCAAACTAGCTCTCCCTCCATGCGCGAAACTGCAGTCCTGTCCCTGACTGTGAACTCGAAGGCTGGGTTCCTCAATTCCTCTATCTGGCCAAGGCCACACAGCTGGTAAGTGTCCACGAAGAACTAGGGCCCATCTGCCTGCCGTTCATGCCAAAGCACAAGGCAGCCCCTCTGGGTCTTTGACTGAGGTTTGGTGTCCTCATCGGCACCTGTGTTCTGTCATTACACTAGCAAAAATAGCTTCATCTGGACCATTCTTCGGATTCCAAGAGCCTTGAGAGCCAAGTCCTGCATCTCGCTGCTCTTTGCCTCTTTCACCCGTTTTTTTTAATTTATGGGATGTTTACCTACACATTCTCAATTAAGTTGAAGTTTACCGATACCTTTAGTTGATCATGGTGGCTTCACCTAAGTCTTAGAGGCTTCACAGACTGCGGGGGACGGTCCTGCTGAGCTGTCTGGCAGAGAAAGTAAGGATTCCAAGGCTACCTGAGTGGCACTTTTCCTACCCTGGATGGGTGTCTTGGTCCATTCAGGCTGCTCTAACAAAATACCACCACCAGGGTAGTTCCTAAACAACAGAAAGTTATTGTTCACAGTTCTGGAGGCTGCCAAGTCTAAGATCGAGAACCCAGCATGGTCACCTTCTGGTGAGGGCCCCTTCCTATGTCACAGCAGCTGCCTTCCTTTGCATCCTCACAAGGTGGAAGGGGCTGGAGATCTCTCCAGAGCTTTTTTTCTAAGGGCATTCATCCCATACGTGAAAGCTCCACCCTCATTCCCTAAGCACCTCCCAAATGCCCCTTCTACTAACACTACCACCCTGGAGGTTTGGATTTCAACCTATGAAACTGGAGGGACACATTCATATCATCCAACTTGGGGGAGAGGATTCCCTGGGTGATCTGACTCGTTTCTAAGCAGGGATCTGTCTTTGCATCCCCAATCCTGGTATCCAGGTGGAGCTCCTTTTGTTTCAAGGACAAGTAACAGTAAGGGCCAGAAACCATTTGTAGAAAGAACATAAGCATAGCTCTGAGGCTGAGATGGAAGCCCAGCTTTGAGGGTCTGGCTCAGTGGCACTGATATCACAGAGTTTTAGACCTAGAGTTCAAATCTGAAAATAAGCACATAACAGCTGTGATCTCAGGCACCTTCTTGTGGCCTTAGGAAACAGGTCCCCCAGCAGCTCGGCCTCTCTGAACCCAGGAAGGGTCAGGAATCAGGGGCCCCAGGGCCTACTCTGAAAGCAGGACTTAAGGGTGAAGCTGAGAACAGAAAGACTGATTAAACAGCTGGATACCAAGACACCCCCAATTCAGTATTTTTACTCTCTGTACACCATCCTTGACTCCTTTCTCTCAACCTTCATCATCAAATCTGGTTGGCTCTAGCTTCAAAAACAGCCAGAAAGATCTGCATCCTCACTACCAAGACCCTATCTCCCACAACTCGCTCCCTCCATTCCCACAACTTGTTGCTTTTACTAGACACACCTACCTCTAGGCCTGAGCCCAGGCTGTCTTCACATCCAGGAGCACCCTTCAGATATCCCCACAGTCACCCTCTCCCTGCCTTCATACCACCTGCTCAGATGCCTCCTTCTCCAGCCGCTCTCCATCTCCCTTGGTGTGGCTTTTCTCCAAAGCACTTTACCTCATCTAACATATTATTATATATCTGCCGACTCCCTGCTTCCCCCACTGAAAGATCAGCTCTTCTGGGGCAAGAATTTCTCCATACCATTCATTGCAGTATCGCCAGAGCCTAGAACAGTGTCCAGAACGTTGGGGGGTAATCAATATTTGTTGAACAAATGAAACGAGAAAACAAACTGAAGACCTCAGCGGAGAACAGGGACACAGAATGGTTCTTACCATTCAGCAGACTACAAACAAAACAAAACAACTTTGGATAGGGAGTCTCATTTCCCCCAGAAATGGGAATAGGAACACACAGAGCCATCTTGAGATGTCAAAATCTTCAGCAGATCCAACCCAGATGGAGCGCCCATGTCTTCCCCAACGCCACAAAGTAGATGATGGTACCCGCACTCACCAGCACCTGCTCATGGGCTGGCATACCACAGGTGCTCAATAAATGTCTGCTGAGGAACCGGAGAAGGCAGACAGCCACAGAAAAGAGGAAACTAAAGAAAAGATTGGTGTGGCACCAATACATCAAAGTGTGGGTGTTCTAAGGCCAGGGAGCGAGGCCGAGTCTACGCCATGGAACACCTAGGATGCCAAAACGTTTAACCTGAAAGCTGGGTGGTGGCGGCGGTCGGGGGGGACCCTTGAAGTAAATTTGCTCAGGCATGTGACTCATTCAGAATGAAGAGCCAGCCATGGAAGGGCTGGGGAAATAGAGGTATCAGGCAAAGAAACAACTAAGACACCAGTGTAGCTTGGCACTGACAGGGTAGTTAGAAATCAGGCAGGAGCCAGATCACGCAGGGGCTTTCAATTCTCATCCCCAAACTAAGAGAGGGATCTTTGACCCAGGCAAAGATAAAGTTACATGTTTTGGGTGGCAGATGGAAACCACCTTTCCTTCCCAAAGAACCTGAGACTCCTAGATATCCTAACAGGCAAGGGGAGGTGTTATTCATCTGGCACAGCTTCATTATACCTAAAAAGCTCAAAATTATTTGAGTAATTAGAGACATCAGTGAGTATTATGGCTTTATGACCATAAACTAGAACCAAAGAAGCAGTTCTAGAAGCAGAATGAGGTACTGGGGAAAAGGCTTGAAATTTTGGATTGAGCTATTCTCCTAATTGGGTATATAACCTCAGGTAGGTCTTCCACGACTCTGGTCTTCAGATTCCCTGAATTAAACTGAGGGAATCAGACTGACTATTCCCTAAAGAATTTCTGGGTGAGTTCCAACTCTTTGTAGTTTTATATTCTCATGTGTCCACCATAACTGCCAGGCACAGAGAAGATGCCCCTGAGTACCTTGCTAAATGAATGAAGACCAACTTTTCATTGTACCATTGGAAACTGGGGCCTGGAAGGGTTAGGTGGCAGCTCAGGGCCAAAAAGCCAGTTAATGGCAGTGTGTGGGGAGGCGCTTGTACTCCAGCCAAGAGACTCCTGGGTTCTTCAGTAGAGGTAAAAACAGATGAAGCAAAGAGAAAATGGGTGGAGATGGGCACTTCGTTAGAAAGGTGGGGGGTTCCCAGAAGAGAGCTCCCTGGAATCCAGCGGGCCCCAGGCTGAATGGTGCAGTTTCTGTGATCAGACTGATGAAGCTCGAACCCCAGCTCCAGGAAATTCGGGGTCAAGTGCCTTAGGCCAGCCACCTCTGTGTCTTAGGGTGCACTCTTTGATAAAATGCAGATAACAGAGCCTCACTTATAATTCTAAAAATCGCCGCGAGATCCATGTGGAAAGCCTTATAAAGACTCTTGAACAAGTGCCTGGTACGTAGTAGGGGCTCAATAAATGTCCACGTGGGTGGCACTTTTACCACTCCAGAACAGCCCCTAACCCCTGTGGCAACTTTTCAGGAGGGACAGTGAAAAAGCGAGTACAAATGCAAACGCGTGGTGGGTGGTAAGAGCAACAGTAAAAAGAAAAAAATCCCAATTACGAGCCAGAGGAAGCGTGCTCAGCACTTCCTGTGCCCCCTTGGCCTAGTTTACTAAATCTCCCACGTGCCGGTCCTTCTCAGGTCCGGGTTCGAGTCTCACAGTGACCTTGGACCAGCCTCGTTCCTCCCAGTCTCGGTTTTCTCATCTGCAAAGCGGAGGTGGCGACCCCACTGCCCAGCCCTCCCAAGGGTCCCGAAGAGGGTACCCCGGGCCGCGCCTAGAGTCTCCCGCGCCTGCAGTGGGGTCGCGGGGCACCGGGGCCTAAGTGTCGCCGGGGTGGCAAAACCGCATGTCCCCTGCAGGCCCTCGTAGGCCGGTCTCCATGGCAGCCCGCCATGCCTACCTTCCTGCCGGCAGTAGGCCATGGCTGCAGCCCCGGCACTCAGACCTCGCGGCGACAGCGGTGGTGGCAGCACCGGCGGCGGCGGGCTCACGCTGTGACCTCTTCTCGGGCAGGGCGGGCGGCTCCAAGGCCCACGCGGAACGCCCCCTCCAGGACTGCCCGCCGCGCGCCTGCCTCTGCGACCTCCCAGCCCCAGCCCGGCCCCAAACAGCCGGGAACTACGTTTCCCAAGAAGCCGAGCGCTGCTCGGTTTCTCTTCAAGGCCAGAGGAACTACATATCCCGGAATGACTTGCAGTGCGCAGGCGCATCAATGAGGTACAGCACGTGCTGTAACTCAGTGGCCAAAGCGCCTGACCCCGGACTACATTTTCCAGGAGGCCCTGCGGCGCGCATGAGCAGGAAAGCTGTGGCTCTCGGGGCTGTAACTTTTGCACGTCCTCTCTGATTCCAGGCTTCGCGCGGATTTTCGCAGCTCTTTGTCGGACGAGAGGCCTCTGGGCTTTGCACTCAGGCGGTCAACCCGTTCCGTAGCCGAGCGCAGCGTGGGTGAGCGCCCAGCCGGGTCCCACCATGGCCGCGAACGTGAGTGTCTCCTGGTCTGCTGGACCCCACCCATTTCCCCCCATCTCTCCGTCTTGCCTGCCTGACCCTTGTGTGTGCGGCCGGCCCCATCTCCCTCTACATGCCCTTGTTCCGGGTTTCTGGCAGCTAATAGGTCCGTTCACCTCTCTTGGTCTGTCCGGACCTTCTTGTCGGACCGCACGTTTGCCGGGAGAGAGACTCAGTGGTGTTCCCGGCATTGGGATCTCCTTGTGCTAGGGCGCCTTCTCGCAGCCCCTCCTTTCATTCTCAGCTGCCACCCGGGCCCTTGGGCTTCTCCTTTATGGGCTCTGAGAACTGGAAGCGACCCCCGAAGGAGCAGGTCCGCGGGAAGGGTGGGGAAGCCGATACCGCTCAGGTGGAGCTTATTCATCAACTGACAGACTGGGTTGTGCGGGCGGGCAGGGAGTTCCCCGCCCTGGGGAAGCGTGTAAACCGAGGCTGTGATGCTGCAAAGGGGTGCGGGCGAGATTGAGAGAGGAGGAGTTAGGATGACTGTGAGAGGGAGCATTTCCCTCTGCCCAGCCCCTTGTCTTCCTAGATGTATTTGGTTAGAGACGTCATGGCTGCAGGTGCTTCCTTTCAAAAGCCTGTGGGCCTTTTGTCCCTGCAGCCTACCCTTCTCAGGAACCTTTCGATTTAAGATTTAAGCCCAACATTCATTCAACAAACCGAGCAGCACCTCCCACCGCGGTGCTGGGTGTGGGAGAGTCTGGTGACTCACCATTTCGCTCCTGTGTGAAAGTGCTTCTGGAGCCAGCCCTGGTGCCCTGCCAGCCCCAGGACGCTCCCTCCCTCCTGCTTTGCTGGAGTGTCCTAGCTGCTCTCCCCTGGCCTGTTACACCCTCCTTCCAGCCCCTCCTCTGTCCCCAAGATCCCTCTCTGCCCCCTACACCCCTGGAGAGGAGGGTTTGTATCACTGACAGCCCTAGTGTGCTCCGCCTCAATTGGAGTTGTCTGAGAGACCTAGAAACTGCGAATGCTGCCCCTGGAAAAATTTCAGAGGTAGTCCGGGACCCAGGGTCTGCCAGGGGGAGAGGACAGCCCAGAGACCAGCCTGCCCCCATACCATGTTCTACAGATGGAGAATTTCCCCCAGCAGGTGAAGGCACTTGCCCAGGGCCTCACGGCTGGCTTGGCCAGCTACTTCACAGAAAGATACTGAAGACAGCAGGCTTTGGAGTCAGGCAGACCTGGGGGCAAATCCAGTTTCTTCCTGTCAGAAGCGGTGTGGCCCTAATCACTCTGGGTTTGTGTTTCTTCGTGGGATCTGTTAGTGTGAAGTTTAAGGGAGTTAGTCTGTGCTTCCTACAGTGCCTGGTGCATAGAAGGAGCTTAAGACATGAAAAAAAACTATATTCACAGTCTGACACAGATGTCCCTAGTGGGCACAGACTGTCTTGGGTATACTGGCACGTGCCCTTTGCCAAGGAATGTGTATGAATGTGGGTATCTTCTGTGCCAAACCTTTGCTGAGTCACCCAGGAGCTGGGTGCACGCTTACAGGAGCCACCAGGCCTGGTGAGGAAGAAAGATCTGAAGCTGGGGGGGTGGAGCAGGGAGGCGACAGGATTTCTTAATTGGTATAACAACAGAACTGCCCTGTGACAGAGGTACTGTGAACTATCGCCATTTTATATGGGAGTAAACTGGATCAGAGAGGTAGAGCAACTAACGCAGGGTTGCACAGCTAGTAATTCTCAGGGTCTGTGTGTCAGCTTCTGTTCCATCACTCAGTGCTCTTTGATCCTGAGCCTAGAGTGCTCCCTGAAGACCCATGTATATATTCAGCACATATCAAGGAGCCAACATCAAGATAAGGAGCTCAAAGATGACCTTGAAGGGGAAGAAGAGAGGCACTGGAAGATCTCCCTCAGGTTAGGGAAAGAGTCCATTAGGGAGATATGGGTGGAGGAAATCACCGTCATCCTCCATTCCAAGACCCTCCATGTTTACTGGGATTTTGTTTTGGAATGTGGGCAGAGTGTGCCCTGTCACAGCCCACCCTACCCCTACCGTAGACTGAGGTACCTTCCTGAGCCTTTCTTTCTTCCCTCCAAACCCTTCCATGAGCTCCTCTCTTTGACATTGGCTCCTAGATGGATGCTGAGGGGAGGCCCAGAAGGAAATCATGGCCTGCTGGCTTCCAGTTTTGGGGCTGTGCTCTAATAGCGGAATGGGCTCCTTTTCCTGACGCTCTCTGCAGCTGGCTCCCAGCGTTCAGCTCTCCTTATGGCCCAGTGTTCATCTCCTCCTTATGAGGAATGTGGCTTGGAGCAAAGTGGTCGGAGAATGGCCTCTGGTCTGTCCAGATTTGAAACCTAACTCTCCCTCTTAGAGGCTGAGTGATCTGGGCTGATGAGCCTTGTTTTCCTCATCCGTGAAATGGGATAGCAATAGCTTTCCTGTGCCTGACCTTTGACAGACTGGCGTGTTGCCACTGTCATCATTATGTTTGATGGTCACCTACCTGCCTGCAGTGAACTGCTCTACTAATGTTTCCCAATGGTGTGGAAATTTAAGTCCATTTCTGAATCTAATGGACATCTGGACTCTGGCAGGCCTGGGCTGGGGGTATTGGGGGACAGTCAGAGAATATGGCATCAGCCTTATTCAGGCAGAGATTAATCCGAATCTCTCCTCTGGTCCCTGTGCCAGGGGCTTGGCTCACTCTGAGTACACATCTCGGAACCACTTTACACCTTTGCCACTTTTGTCAGCGCACCCCCAGCCATGGTACCGATCTTGCTGTCCATTGCAGAGAAAGGTGATAACATTCCCACCCTTTGCACCCATACATTATGGCCCATGTCCTAGGCACTGAGCTGTCTGATAATTAAGACCTTTGGTTCTTACCAGAACCCTGTATACTGGATTTTTATCCCCATTTTACTGACGAGGAAATGGAGGGCATAAAGGGGTTAATTGCTCGCCCCAGGTCCTGTAGCCTGAATTGAAACCCACTCCTTGTGGCTCTGGAATTCTGCCATTGACAATGATAGTCCGCAATGGCCACACTTCAAACCATACTTCCGTTATTGCCTGGATGAAACTTGACCCACTGACGCTACTAGGGATGTACTCCAGGGTCTGCCTCTGAGATCTGTATTCAACACCATCTGCTCAGGCCCTAGAACCTGCTGGGATCCCCCAGCCGGCAGGGGTCCCTCATTTGGCACTGGACCTGCTCCTCACTGAACACTCAGCACGGCTTAGTACTATTTGTGCCTGCAGCTCAGTGGCCCTGCAGCCTCCCCTCACCCCTGCAAGACCCAGCACAGCCCTTGGGAAGCTGAAGTGTTCAAGTGTTGTTCAAGTTTGTTGAATCGAATTAATAATGTATGTCTGATAACCTCTTTGTAAAACAGTTTGGCAGTTTCTTAAAAACACACATCATCCCTGTGATCCAGCAATTTCCCTCCTCCATGGGTACTCGTTACCCAATACAAAGGGAAATGAAAGCACATGTCTTCATAAAGACTTGTACAGGAATGTTCATGGAAGCATTGTTTATAATAGCTAAAAACTGGAAACAATCATAATATCCATCCACTGGTGGCCGAGTCAGCAAATGCTGGGATGCTCCTAGACAGAGTACTACTGAGCCATGTAAAGGAATGAGCTACCACCGCAGTGTAGATGACCCATCTCAGAATCTGGACAGAAAAGAGGTTGTGCTGTATGATGGCCCCATTTATATCAGCTTCCGCAAGAGGCAAGATTCATCTGTAATGATACAAACTCAAGGAGTTGTTACCACTAGGAGGTGGGAAGAGAGGAGTATTGGCAGGAAAGAGGCACAAGGTAACTTCTGGGATGATAGAAGCGTCCCGTATCTTGATCTGGGTGTCCGTCAAATAGGATAAGCATTTGTCAAAATCCATCAAACTTTATGCTTAATGTCTGTGCATTTTTACTGTATATAATTGAAACTAGTATACACAAATAGCAAAATTCAATTTACTTTTTAAAAAACTGATTTTCATTTTGATTTCTTAAAATATTTTTTCCTCAGTATTCCAGTACGACTAACAGGAGAGAACATGTCAAAATGACAACCAGCCACCAGCCAGGCTTCTTGGAACGGCTCAGCGAGACCTCGGGTGGGATGTTTGTGGGTCTCATGACCTTCCTGCTCTCCTTCTACTTAATTTTCACCAATGAGGTAAAATGTCTGGCATCCCTCTGTGCAGAGTGAGGGTCCCTGCAGTATCAGAGAGCAAAGGCTATGAATCCAGAGGCTGGATGTGCTAATAGGGCCTACCTAGATTTTACAACAAGTGGGGTGGAGGGGGAGGGTGATGGTGCTGAATTAATCAGAATTCTTTCTCTTGTGACCTGTCTCATAACTGCCCTAAGTAGGAAGACAAATGGATTGGTTCACATGCCTAAAATCCTGGGGTGGCAATAGGTTCAGGCATGGCTGGATCCAGGTGTTCATGTTGGGTCCCTAGGAGTCTCCATTTTTCCATCTGTTGCCTCTTAACTTAGCAGCCCCATCTCTTCCAAAATCAACTTAGCAACAGTTGCAGAGAAATGGGTTAGTGTCCCGGCTTGTCTCAGTCCTCTCTCTGAACTAATCCCTGTGGACAGTGGACCCATGTTCTGATTGGCTAGGCCTGGGTCACATGTTTTGGGCAGCAGTACAGATGGGCCCATAGAAACTATGAGGACTCAGGAGTGGAGGGAAAAAGGCAGAGTAAGATGAGGGGGGGGCACACAGACAAAAGCACCAGCTGTTCCCAGCATGGGGTGGTGCTGAGAATTAGGGGGGTTGGGGTGTGCAGCAAGAAGAGGGCTGCCTGGGAAAGCAGGAGTCTTTGGCTCCAGTTCCAACCGTGCCACTCGCCAGGCCTCAGTTTCCAACTGTAAAAGGGGGAGATGAGTCTCCATGCTTCCCAAGGCCCCAGGCTGCTGGGATACACTGCCATGAGCACAACTGTTGAACCACACCTAAGTTGAAAGGTGGCCTCACTCCCTTTTGCTCACAGGGCCGTGCACTGAAGACAGCAACTTCCCTGGCTGAGGGGCTCTCACTTGTGGTGTCCCCTGACAGCATCCACACCGTGGCCCCAGAGAATGAGGGAAGGCTGGTACACATCATTGGGGCCCTGCGGACGTCCAAGGTACGTTTGGGAAAGGTTGCTGACCCCACCAGATGCTCAGGGCACGTGGCTGGATGTTGTCTGGGTGAGGATTTTGAGCATGTGGGCTCTGGAGATGGGCACACATGTGTGACTCCCGGCCGCATCACTCAGCAGCTGTGTGGACCAATCACTTGAGTCTCAGCATCTTTATCTGTAAAATGCAGAGCATACCTCCTCTGAGCAGTCAGTGGGATTAGGTCGCTCACATCTCGGCACGGTGCTTGGCCCACGGCCAGAGCCTTACAACAAGGTGCTTTAGCGGTTAGGCTCAGCGTGTGTGGCTGGCACAGGGCTGAAAGGGACTCCAGTTGTCGGATCTCTTGTGTTTGAACCCTAAGTACACTGTTGTTGGCGCTATGCCATCGGACCTTGCCAACCAAGCCAGGACCATGAGGCTCCCGGTCCCCGGGCAGTGGGTGTGAAGGACTTAGGATGGGCAGCCTCACCCGACTCTCCCGCCCGAGATAGCCATGGTAGTCTCCACTGTGTCGCTGTCCTTTGTGCCTTTCTCTTGTCCAGTCCCTCTTTCTCTGGCATCCTGGGCTCATGGGAGCCTTGGCCTCTGTTCTGTGTTTTTGACTTGTGTGATTCTTTTCAAAGCTCTTGTCTGATCCAAACTACGGGGTCCGCCTCCCAGCTGTGAAGCTACGCCGGCATGTGGAAATGTACCAGTGGGTGGAAACCGAGGAGTCCAGGTGAGGGGCCAGGGACTGACGCCTCAAGCAGGAATACTGGAGTGACAGGTATTGGGATACAACACAGGTGGCTTTTGATCTTGATGCTTCTAATGAGAGTGGCTCCAAGAAGGACGAAGACGAATTAGCCCACTTGTGTACTACCCCATCGGGGGATGCCCAGGCTCGAGACATGTCTTGATCCAGGCTGCAGACAGTGCTTTCCTATGTGTGGGCTCTGTGTCCTCTCCCAGACCAGAGTAGAGATGACCTCGAACTATGTCCTCTCTGTTCTAGTACGAGTCTGAGGGCAGGCGTCCTTAGGCAGGCAGGGGCCCCTTGGAGCTGAGCAGCATGGACTGTGAGTGAGGGGTGAGGAGGTGGCTAGGGGAGCCAAGGCAGCCGGAGAAGGGGGGCCTCTGTGGGGCTGTCAGGCACAGAGGGTGCGGCCAGGTCTCTGAGCTTAGGGCAGGGCTGCTGCCCTTGGTGCGGGCCTAGTGGAAGCACATTTCAACTCAGGATGAGAAAGCTCTTTTCTTCAGCGTGGGCCTTCAAGGGGGTGGAGAGGACTGCATGGTGGGGAGTCAGCACTCTGTTACCGGGCTGCTCCAGACAAGGTCTGCTCTCATTTAGGGTTTTTGACCTGGTGGCCTGAGTTGCTTCCAGCTGGAGATGTTTAGAGATGGGAATGCTTCTGGGGTGAGAGGCTAACTCTGGGGCTGCCTGTGCTTTCCCCACAGGGAGTACACTGAAGATGGGCAGGTGAAGACAGAGACAAGGTACTCCTACAGTGAGTACCGCCACCCCTCATCCCCGCATACATGGGGCCTCTGCCCTTAGTGGAGACTGACGGCGGTGGGGAAGGCGTGGAACCAGGCATCGGAAACCCTGGGTGCCGGTCCTCGGGGTCCTGCTGTTCCATCCAGTGAGGTTCCAGAAGCCACCCTTCCAGCACTGAAGTGACCACAGGCTTAGATAAAAGGACACAGAGCCAGTGGGCCTCAGACATGTGGCTGCTCTTACCATGTTTCTGAGTTGTTCCCTCTCCCTGTGACAGACACCGAATGGAGGTCAGAAATCGTCAACAGCAGAAATTTCGACCGGGAGATTGGCCACAAGAATCCCAGGTGAGAGCTGGGTGCCCAGGCCTGAGCACAGTCTTGCCTGCTCCTCAAGGGTCCCCAGCCTCAGCTTCCTCATCTGAGTGATGGGATTGAGTTCCTTCTGCCTCGTGAACTGATGAAAGTCGGGGACTTGGTTCTGAGGCCAACTCCCTGGCTGGGCAGGACCCAACTTCCTGAGCCCACACAGGCTCCCCTCACACTAGTCAAGAACAAAAGGCCTGGACCGAGTGCCTGAAGGAACTTGCATGTCCAGAGCCAGGGTGGGAATAGCCATGTGGGTGGGAAGATAATCAAGAAGGGTGTTCAGGAGGCAATGGAATTTGATGTGGGCCTTTGTAGGATTTTGGCAGAGAGCGGCTAGGTCAGAGAAATGGAGGTGGTGAGGTGGTCTTAGCGCTGGAGCGTGGCTTGGGCAGGGCTGTGCCTCCTGGCACAGGGGTTGGGAGCTCCTTGGGGCTGGGAAGGGTCAGGGAGGCTGTGAAGTCCACAGAAGGTCCATCTGACAATAGGTGGCTGGGGAGGGACAGGCCGGTAGGGGCCTAGGCAAGGAGGTATGAAGCACTGGGCCATAGGAGACAGGAGAAGGGTGCTTTACTCGGGCGAGGAGGACAGGAGCATCCTGGGGGTAGGTGTGGTGAAGACAAAGTGCCTGGGCTGGTCTGGACTTGCAGGAGCCCCCCGGGTGGGAACCCTGCAGGGCATAACCCAAAGAAACCCGCAGAGCTCCCGGCCGGCGCCATACTCTGCCAGTAGCACCTTCTCTCTCCCACAGCGCGATGGCAGTGGAGTCATTCACGGCCACAGCCCCCTTCGTCCAGATTGGCAGATTCTTCCTCTCAGCAGGTGAGTCTCCAGCCCCTTCAGATGAGCCAGCAGCACCCAGAGGCCCTGTGCTTCTACTTGGCTGCCTCCCAGGAGCGGTGCAGGTACAGGTGCGGGATGAGCTTGTACAGAAGAGCCCCACCCCAGCCAGGCTCCTCCAAGACATGGTCTCTTCCAGAGAATAACTATCAGGCCTTGCTGGTGCCTGATCTGATCAGACAAAGCTGAGAGCCAGTGATAGAGACAAGGCCGCCCCCCAAGGGGTGAGCAATTCATTGCAGGCAGCCACCCCCCAAGTGACTCCAAAGAGAGGTTCTTCAGGGACAAGGCAGCACCTGGCGTGGGAGAGAAAACACGTAGGCACCAAGTAGCCAGGGCAGGGGAGGAGGGGTGGAGTCCCAGCGCTCTGCCAGGAAGCTCCAGGGCCTAGCTTGTCTGCCATCTGCCTTGTCGCTTCACCGGTGGCTGCTGTGCCAGGCAGCCCCAGCCTCAAGGGTACTGCACGCAGCAGGGGACCCTGGCATAGACAGGTAACGGCATCCGAGGCAGAAGGGGTGCAGGGCTCAGGCTGTTCCCAGAGCTGCAGTGGCTCCTGCTGGCCAGGAGGGCAGACAGGAAGGCTTCCTGGAGGAGGCAGAGACTGAAGGGGACCCCGCAGTACAGAAGGAGGGGTTGGAGAAGGGTGCTTCCGGTGGGAAGGAGGTCAGGCCAAGGGGTGTGCCGATGGGGGGGAGGTTGTTTGCACACCACTGTTGTGACCGCTGCACACTCTCCAGGCCTCATTGACAAAGTGGACAACTTCAAACCGCTGAGCCTGTCCAAGCTAGAGGACCCGCACGTGGACATCATTCGCCGGGGAGACTACTTCTACCACAGCGAAAACCCCAAGTATCCGGAGGTATGTAGGGGCTTGGCTGCTACACAGCGGAGATCAGGGCCCTGGGAGTACCGCCCCTTGGACAACACACAGGGGACACATTCCTACTTGGGACACGGTTTCAATTCAGTTGAACTGCTTGGCCAAATGTGATTGGAGGGGAGAAGCCTCGAGGTGCTGGGGGCACCTGGGCAACAGTGTGCAGGCGGGAAGAGCGTGTGAGCTTTGGGATTCGACGGGGCCATGGACACAGGCCCAGGCTGGCTGCTCCTGCCGTACCGCAGCCCACTTCTCTTCCACCCCCAGGTTGGAGACCTACGCGTGTCCTTCTCCTATGCGGGGCTGAGTGGTGACGACCCTGACCTGGGCCCAGCTCACGTGGTAACCGGCTTCCCCGGGGCCGAGCCAGGCAGGGCCTTCTCAGCTCCCACTGTGCGCGGTGCCCTGAGTGGGGGGACCCCTCCTCTAGGCCACGTGTGCATGCACTCCCCTCCGTACCCGGGCGGCCCTGCCTCTGAGCGGCTTCAGAGCCCGTGGGCTGGACAGCTGTCTGCGGGCGTCCGTGGGCCGCAGGTTACGGGGCTGCTCCCGGGCAGCTTTGCGGGGACTGCCTAGTGATGCTGGTGAGAGTTCTGCCAATTGCGTGCAGCTTTTCTTCCCCCCCCGGCCCCTAGTTTTTGCCCGATAACTACTCGGTCTCAGGTGCCTGACCCTGTCACCTGAAGTCCCAGCCCTTCCCCTGCGCGGGGTCCTCCCTGGAGCCTGAAACAAAGCAGCTCAGCCCAGCTGCCCCGGGGGGAACACAGCGCGAGAGGTGCTGGGCCGGGCCAGGCTCTGACGCTAAGGTCTCTGACCAGGTCACCGTGATCGCCCGGCAGCGGGGTGACCAGCTACTCCCCTACTCCACCAAGTCTGGGGATACCTTGCTTCTCCTGCACCATGGGGACTTCTCGGCAGAGGTGAGTCGCTGCGGCTCCATTTGTGTGAGGGCACGGGGTGGGGGGGCGGGGGGGGCAGGCATGGCCCCTGCAAACGGAAGGAGTAAGCCTCCCTGTGTGTGCAGCATGAAGGGGAGAAGAGGGAGCACAGCACACCCCTCCTACTCCTCAGGCTTCTAGTCTCCTGTGGGGGCGACTCACCAGAAGAAGCAGTGAGGGAGGATACCCTTGTGCTGAGTGTTGTGAAGGGGGGTGCAGAGGAGGTCAGCAGAGGGGTCAGTGGAGGCCTCTCTGAGTGACAGTTTGGCTGCATCACAAGTGAAGAAGGTGGACTCAGCCAGCAGCATGTGGGGGTCAGGCGGTCGCTGAGGCAGGAACGGGAGCACCAGGGTTCCCCTGGCAGGTGCTGCCCAGAGGAGGCAGGGCTACCCGGTGGGCAGGGGCCTCCATAGGGGTGTGGGACTTCTTTCAGAGCTTCAGGAAAGTGGGAGGATTTAGGGCCACAGAGTCCTGGACAGGAGTGAGGGCCATACCCCATCCCCATCTGTAAACTGGGGAGGGTCATGTGTCACTGGAGTCCTGTCCTCGCGCTGATGGTGGGTAGTTCTGTTGCAGGCCCTAAAACTTAGCCTCTCTTCTCTAGGCAGAAACCCTTCTCTTTAAGGGAAAAATTGTTTTGCATTGTTGGTGAACACCGTGTGTCACTGGTTCTGGGCTTGCCTGGAGTAGGACTGCAGGACTTTGCAATCCATAAGAGAAAGGGCTAGTGGCAGGGGGGATAGGGCGTAGCTGTGGCCTTCCAACCCTGTTATTAGGCCCTCAACTGCTGTCTTTCTCACTTTAGCCCCCAGCTCCAGGTGGTGATGGGCCTGGCCTTTTCCTTTATCCAGGAACAGGGTGTGGCAGCCGGTTACCATCCTTGGGGCGCAGCTGCCACCTCCCACTTGGGCGTGCATGAGTCACCCTTTCCATCGGCAGCTCTCAGGGACTTTCTAAAATTAGGAGGCCCTGCTGAGGCCACCTCTCTCTCCAGCAGCTCTCTGCACTTCAGCCCCCTGCAAGTGGAGGCCCGGGTCTCCGCGCTGTCCCCCCAGAGAGGAGTGGCCTCCAAACTTCCCAGGCGGGAAGTCTCGGACCACACTGACCACCTTGGGCCTCCGGCACAGGGTCTGGGGTCTCTGCCAAGCCGGGAGAGAAGGTCCTGAGCCATAGAGGTGGTGAGGGCCCTGAGGAGGAACCCAGACCCCGTGAGTCAGGACGCCCAGATTCCAGTCCCAGAGGCAGGAGGGTTGTGCGTGGACAAGTGTGGACCCCGGACATGGCCCCAGTTCAAGCCCCGCTCTGCCTTCCATGGGCTACAAGACCTTGGGCCCATTGTTTATCTTCTTGGAGAATAAGAATTATGATCCCTACTTTAGTTGTTGTAAAGATTACATATCCATTTATTCTGAGGCTCAGTTTCCTTATCTGTAAACTGGAGATGAGCATATCTACCTTGTGAAGTTAGTTTCAGGTTTAAGTAAAGCAATGCTGGAAAGCACTGAGGACAGTGACTGATAGATGGCAGACACTAAGTGTTAGCTGCTGTAACTGTTATTGTCCTAGATAACGATGGGGGCCTCTCCAAAGAAACACCATTCAGGCCAACACTGGAAGAAGTGTGGGAGCTGGCGGGGCAGGACTGTGGGCAAACCAGCTCCAGGTGGAGCCAGCACATGTGCAAAGGCCCGGGGGCAAGAGGTGGACACTTGACCTGGTCCCAGACAGGCGGCAGGGCCTTGGCTGAGGGCCATGGGGGAGGAGGTGACGGAAGCAGGGAGACCAGTGGGAGGAGGCTCTTGGAGTGGTCCTGGTGAGAAAGCGTAATGGTGGTGAGAGATTTAGGGAAACGGGGACACAGTATTGATAGGATTTAGGTGGTCCCTGGATTTAGGTGGTCCCTGCAGGGAGGCACAAGCCGTGAAACACCCCAGTCGTGGCATGTGCAGGCAGGAGGTGGCTGTAGCACTCACTGAGGGGGATGTGACAGAGAGGACCAGGCGTCAGGGAGGCTGCAGGGTCGGTGTTGGACAGCATGTGGGCAGCGGAAGGCCCAGCCCAGGGCTGTAGCTGGAAGCTGGGGGGGTGGGGGGGACACTGGCGGGGAGGACATGGGACTGATGCTGCCGCCGAGGTGCAGAGGGCAGCCCGAGGGAGGGGGCAGCTGCAGGTGCGGAGAAGCAGGGGCGACGTGGAAGTTGAGGCATTCCAGAGTCGCAGGAAGAGCATCTGAGGTGAAGCACCGCGCACACTGCTGTTGGAGGGAGGGCCAGGTGCATGCCAGCCGAGGCGATGGGCTAAGGACTCTTACCTTCACCTACGGGGCAGACGCTTAGGCCTGGGCAGGCGAGGTGCCCTTACGTCCTGTCTGCTCGGAAACGGCCAGCGGCTCCTAGGTGGGCATGGAATGCACCCCTTGGCACCTGCCCTGCCAACCGGGGAGACTGGGGGGCCCTGGGAGACCGGAGACGTGACACCTCTCCTCGGCCTTGTCCTGCAGGAGGTGTTTCGTAGAGAACAGAAGAGCAACTCCATGAAGACATGGGGCCTGCGGGCTGCCGGCTGGATGGCCATGTTCATGGGCCTCACCCTCATGACCCGGATCCTCTACACCTTGGGTAGGTGTGCAGACAGGTCAGGGGGGATCTTGTTCACCCTCGTGTGGGCCCGTGTGCCGCCTCTGTGCTGCTCACACCGCCCGTGGCCCTTTCCAGCCCGCAGTGCTCTTCGGGGCCGAGAGCGGGCATCTGGTCCATGTCTGTGTCCTGCTCCACAGCACCGGGCCCACTGAATGGGCCGAGGAAGACAGACACGAAGGATAAAGGCTTTCAGGGGTGGGGTGGGGAGTGCCAGCTCCTAGGAGGCTGGTCTAGCCCTGGGGATATGAGGGCCATCTGTCCTCAGCCCACCTGCTCCTTCCTTTAACCCTTTACTCCACAAGGGAAGAAGCACAGCGAGCAGGCTAGCCAGCCTCTGCAGTGAGCCAGCCCTGGATCGGCTACGTCAGAGTTCTGGGACACTGGGGCCGTGCTCTTTCCTGTCTCAGCTTCAGTTACCTCACCTTGTAGACAGAGTTTTGTGAATGTTTGGCAAATAGGAAACACCCCCCAAACCATGTGGTTCCCTCCCCACCCCAAGACCTGGGCCCAGTTTGGGGCAACCAACAAGTTGGAGCACAAGGCAGAGTGCTGGGCGACACACTTGGCCAGAGTTGGCACCCGTGAGCCCAGCAGTTGCCAGGTGACCCAGCCTGTTGTAGGACTGAGGCCCTGGGTGACTGAGTAAGTGCTGGCCCCACACTGTTGATCTGGGAGGATGGCATCTCAGGGGACTCACAGGCAAGCCTTTACCCCAATGTGTCCATACCGAGTCTGCTGACTGTGTCCAGCCTGTGCCGGGCCACATGGAAACCTCTCCCCTCTTTACCCTTTCTGGCTGGGAAGAGGTCTGGCCACAGTACCTCCCAGGCTAGGAGGAAAAAGGACACTTCCTCCCCTCCAAGGCATTCTCGGAGTCGGTCAGAAGTGCAGGTGGAGTGACTGGGGAAGTTACAAGGCAGAAGCCCTCATTCACTGAGGCAGTGAGTACTTATTGAGTGCCTGCTGTGTAGGACACCACTCTAAGCTCCAGAGAGAAATGCAATGAGTAGAACAAAGTCCCTGTCCTCTCAAGGCTCAGAACCATGGCTAAGAGCTCAGGTTCTGGGCTCAGACAGTCTTGGGTTTAAAACCTGGGTCTGGCACTTTCTAGCTGCAGGACATTGGGCAAGTTGAACTCCCTGGGCCTCAGTGACCTTGTGGGTAAAAGGAGGGTAAGAATAATACCAGCCTCCCCAGGCGGGCACAAGGGTTTGAAGAGATGGTCCACACGGTGCCCAACATATGGTCGATGCGCAAAAACATGAACTCTGCTTATTAGGAGGGCCATGGTGGGGTATTGGTGGGAACAGACCAAGAGGAGCCAAGAAGCGGCCTGCAGGCTCGTGTAGTCATGGCAGGGCAGCAGGCCTTGCTCTGCAAACCCAGTGGCAACAGACTGCGGGGGCCTTCTGGAACTGAGGGGGAATACCCCCACGGACTGACATCAGTTAGGGAATGCCAACCTGGAGGGATAGACAGGCCAAGGACAGAGTAAGTCCAGATGGATTAGCTGGGTCCTAGACTTCACCATACTGGGCCAGTGTGGCAAATGGAACATGCCACCATTGCGACCAGACGTCTTCTCTTGGCTTGCGACTGAGAGTGACATCCACAGTCTTAAAGGCTACAAGACACTTCCACCTGCCTGCTCCTGGAGCGGTGCATGGTACCAGGGGCACACACCTTCTCTGGATCCACCAGCTCTCATGGGAGGCTGTTCGCCTTCTGCCCCAAACCCCGCCTGTCCAGACTGGACATCGTCAGCCCATCCTCGTCTACAGACAGGAGCGACCTGCTCACCTCATGTGATGCGGAGCCTGGTGGCCTCAGAAGTCTCACCAGCTTTCTCTTCCCCACAGTGGACTGGTTTCCCATCTTCCGAGACCTGGTCAACATCGGCCTGAAAGCCTTTGCCTTCTGCGTGGCCACGTCGCTGACCCTGCTAACCGTAGCTGCCGGCTGGCTCTTCTACCGGCCCCTGTGGGCCCTCTTCATCGGCTCCCTGGCCCTGGTGCCCATCATCATTGCTCGGACGCAGGTACCGGCCAAGAAGCTGGAGTGAATCAGGCCCTGGAGCCCATCCCCACCCGTGTGAGCTTCAGGATCCTCCTCCTCCCCCTCTCCCCCCACCCCTCTTGACCCCAAGTCAATTTTCGATTCTGCACCTGCTCCACTTCTTGAGGGGCCACACTTGGCTATGTGCACAGGTGTCAGGTACTGGTTTACATGTTCCCCCCGTTTTGCTTGCCAGTGGGCAGCTCTGGTGAGAAGGCGGTCCCCATCTGGCGGGGTCACAGGTGTCCTCCTAGCTTCCTTCCCTTGTCTTGGGACTATGTGTGGCCGGTTGACATGTTTCGCTTAGCTGAAATCTGCAGACTGGGAGGTGGTAACACTGCACAGACTGCTGCCCGATCACTTGCCGCACCCCTCTCCTTGGAGATAAGTGCCAGGGCTCTGTCACAGTTGGTGTCCACTGTGAGCCCACAGGGGCCGGCGTTCTCACTGTCCCTGAGCAGGGCCGAGTGCCAGGACAGACTGAGCACGCTCCCCTCCCCCCCCACCCCATGCAAGGGCGCCCTCCACCCAGCCTGGGCACAGAATCCGCCTTGGTATTCAAAAAAGAGGACTTCCCCTGAGGTCATGGTGAGGAAAATGAGACATTTGGTGGGCTTAATGTGTATTTTATGGTTTGGCCAGAAACTCTTTGTGTGTAGGATTTCCAGAGGTCCCGAAGGTTGTTTGCCTTTGTTATATGCTTCATGGGTCTTCTACCCGAAAAGGGAATTGTTTCAAATCAGATTCAAACTAACAAAGCCCTGCTTAAATGATGAGCCATTCAGACTGTTACAGAAAAACTCCTTATAATCTGTCCATTGAAGTTCATTCAGGCACAGGAATGTATGAAACGGGGGTGTGACTTACTGGTTTAAGAAAGTTTGCTCTGTCAGTACTTGGGGCCAGTGGAAGGCTCGAAGATGCTTTTTTGAAGCCAGCGCTTGCCAAGGGCTTCCATTCTGGGAGGAGATGGGAATTTGTACGAGGCGGGGAAAGGCATTTCCTTTCATCCTCTGGCATCAGAAACTACCGATTTCCTTGAAGATGAATTTTGAGTTTTTAGCTAACCATTAAAGGAAAAGGTGGGAAGCTTTCCTAAGTGGGCTCCCTCAGCATGACCCCCATCAGCTTGAATCAGGAACTGGAGGCCTGAGGCTTGTGCAGCTCTCAGGCCTCATTCCTTTCACTGGGGGGCAGAGGGGTGAGGCTTTCCCTTAAGCCACTGGGCACCTGCCGCTGAGTGACTCCTAGAACGTCCATAGCTTCACTGCTGTGTACAATCTACGTGTACTTCACCCTGTTCCTGCTCACCCCCCGCTGAAAGATCGAGAATGTTGTCACCTTGATGATTTGAAAGATCCTTCGTGTACCCTTTATCTTTTTATGACTTGGACTTACTCTCCCTGGCTGGGAATGGCTGCTTTCGCTAATTGGTTGGTGGTTGAATAAGTGATGGGAACTCGCAAAACTAGCACCCTAACAGTCTCGTTAGCCTGCGAGGTCTGTGGTGGCTTGAGATTCTTCATGCCGACAGCTGTCCCCAGAGATGACATCTCTCGATCTAAGAACTGATACAGTATTCACTGCTGCAGTCACTGAATCTCTAACCTCTTAAAGGATGCTTCTGGAAAACAGTACGACTAGGTGGCTATCTGTGGGATTTGGTTTGTGTAACTTTTTCTGGTACAGATTTTAAATTACTACAAATTTCAGTCATGTTTTTAAAGAGCAAAAGAATGTTAAATATTTGAAGTCTTTGGGAAATCATGAAATTTGTATTATCTTTGTATTTTTTGATAAAAATTCAAAATAAATTTTAAAATAGCTTTTATAGGACCTTGCCGTTACTCTTTTTTTGAAATTTCTCTTAAACAATTCAGCCACAGAACTAAGAACCAAATGAATTTTTAGAATTCAGTTCTAAGTAGCTTGTATGGTTAAAATAGGTTTCTATTTTTCTTAAAAGGACAGCTCGATAGTTTTAGCACTTTGAAGCCGTACCTACCAAAGCCCACTTTGTTTTTGGATTGATTTAAAGGACTCAAACCTCCCCCAACTTCAGAATGTGTCAGAAGAGGTGGCTGGAGCCACAGTGGGACACCATATGACAGGGCCACTCCACCCTGGGGCTTTAGGTCAGCACAGACCGGAGTTCCAGCCCCAAGCCTGGCTGTGTGACAGTGGCGAGTCTGCGATCCCTGCCTCTCAGCTTCCTCATCTAGAAAATGGCGGTGAGGCTGTTCTCCCTTGAGCACCAAGCCCATGACATGCCTGCCGTGTGGCACAGCACCTTTTCCCTTTTTGCCTCCTGTTCAGAAGCAGTGGGCAGCTGCGGACTGTCTGCCCTGGAGCGGACAATCTGTGTACTCTTTGCCACAAGATCTGAAGCAGGTGATTTCCCAAAACCACCTCTTCTTTGTCAGACCTGAGGTTCGGTTCCATAATGCCTCTAAGGAGCAGACATCAGCCGGAGTGAGTAACAGGTTGCTTGCTTCTAGGGTCCGGAAGTGCAAGGCTCTGTGGTTTCCACGGCAACCCCGGTTTGTTGTTCCACACCAACCATCCAGCCAAGCTCTCACTGCAGATGAGTCACACCCCAAGTGTTTTGTTTGTTTCCCTTGGATAGAACTGGCTCCGATTTTTAACGGCTCCTGTCAAAGGTTAAGTAACATCTCTCCTCACTTGAACGTAGGAAGAAAAATTTCCATGTGTGGAATGATGAGTTCCCGATCTACCTGAGAACAAAACCTGGTCTTTAGTCTCATATGCAGACAAATCACTGTCATGCGGCTGTTCTTAGCTGACCATAAATCTGAAAGAAAAACGCAGAGCTGAGTCTTTTTAGGTAAATGTTTTATTTTTTTCCTCAAAATGTTACAAAAGTTATTTCTCCTGAATATCTACAATGCATAGAGCTTTTATAAACTTATCCACAGTGGATAAAATCTGGTTGACACTAATCCACTTTCACTAACATTTCTTTAACTCTCAGTGTGTTTCCTTTCCTGATTTCAGCTCTTGGTTTGAGTCTTCTGACACCCTGAAATGTTACTTCCAAAAGTGGGTCCTGCTACCACCGTAATTGGAGATGCCCTTACTTCCCAACTTGCTTTCCCTACCCCATGAAGAGGCAGCACTAGGCAGTGTTAGTACATCTGGCTGAGAGAAAAAGGCATGGCCCAGAGAGAAAGGCTCCACCAGCTGCAGGAGAGGCAAAAGCATGAGGGTCTGACAGATGAAGAACTCACCTGGAAGAAGGGACTGGTGCATTTCTAAATCACCCAGTGGTTTCTGTAAGAAAATGGGACTCCTATTTCCAAAGGCTGGCTGAGCAACATCGAGGTGGTGGGGGAGTCTCCTGGGAAGTGTCCCAGAGCTCAAAGTATAGGGTGCAGAGACGGACAGCTCTGAAAGCCCTACCCCACATCTATCCGACAAGGCCCGGGGCCAGACCAGACCCACAACACCCCCTCAGCTTAATCCCTCTGTGCCCCGGCCCTCGTCCATAGCACACGCTGCTTCTCTGCCTTCTCAGGAGATACCACAGCCACCAGGGCCGGCGCATCCCCCAAAGCAGGTGTGGGGTTCAACAGGTGGCCACTCCCATCACAGCCTCTCAAAAGGGAACAGGTGGGAGGCCGCAGCTGCCTTCTCCCTTTTGGTCTTCTTAGGGCAGGTTGGCTTCTGTTCTTCTTCAGCCTCTCGGTTCTGGGGCCAGGAGGCAGCCAGGATCCTCAATGCTTCTGCTTGAGAGCTGGTCCCCTCCTCTTCATCAGAAGACAGTCCACCTCCGGCAGGTCCTTGGAGAGCTCTCTCCTCTCTCTGGATGGGGAGGGACAACGGTGGGCCTCGAGTAAGCCATCAGATGGCAGGGAGCACCGCCAAAGGGCAGTCAAGCCCCCAGCAGCAGCCACCCCAACCCCCCACCCCAAGCCAGTGGCTTTGGGAGGGCGGGGAGGGCCACCACATGGGGCTGGGGGAGAGCCTTCCTCACACTGGGGACTCCACCAAGCAGGGACTGGAGAACTTGCTCTGGGCTCAGTGCTGGGAAACACAAAAATGTTTATGCGGGGACCGCGCTCAGGGAGCGTACAACCGAATGTAGATCACAGGACTGATGCTTTGCACTTCTTTACCTCACTTCTGCACAAAAGCGCACTAACGTCTTCAACTGCACAGGACCAGCTTTCTGTGCCAAATGCTCCGAGGAGGCACTCCCTGACTGGGACCCGCTGGGGAGCTGGGCATGGAGGGTTTGGATGCAGGTAGAGCACATGGGTGGACGAAATCAACATAGAGCCTGGTGAGAGGTCACCCAGGGGATTTGAGGGAAGAGCATGACAAAAATATTTTGCCAGTTTTAAAGGCAAACTGGCAGCATGTGGAGTTGCAGACAGGGAGAAAACGGGTGTGGTTATAGCTGTTCCAAGAGCACATTTCCAACCCAATACTGATCTCACCACATAACCATGTGGAGGGGCCTCTGCCCCTCTGGGAGACCCTCTGAGGGTGACACATCCACCTCACACAGGCTGGCCCAGCCCAGGGCAGGTACCATGAAACACGACTTAAGTGAGCAACCCCAGGCCTGGAGGATAGTCACAGGCACAGGAAGTGTGGCCAGGCTACGGAGGGCACGTCAAACACAGACACACATGGTGCCTGTCCCTTCCTGGATGGGCTCAGCAAGAGCTCAGACCCCAGCATGCACTTGCTTGTGGCAGATGGGAGCAGGAAAAGGGGGTTGTTGGGCTGAGGGCTGGAAGGACAGCTGAGGCAGACTCCAGGGACACTGTTCCCAACAAGGAAAGTTAAGGACACAGGTGCCTCAGAGACACAGAACTCTGGTGACAAAACACAAGGCATCTCTGGGCAGAATCCGGGCCCAGGGTTCTGAGTCCCCCTCTTCCACCTGAGCTTGTCTCTTTCCAAAAAAGCCACACTGACCTTGTCCCCATAGCGAAGCTTCAGCCTCTCCCTGATGAGCAGTCCCCTGACCAGCAGCTTCCAGTTCCCGAGGGCCCGTTTCTCTCTTTTCTGCAGGCAA